GCCGGGGAGAATGTTGCTGAGTAAAAAGCTGGCTATCTGATTTAGGCGAAACCGACACAAGCAAGCTTGATTTTTTAGCCCTACTGAACTGGGCAGATTGCCACCACGGCAAGCTTCTTCACATTGTAATTCTATGGGATAAATGAGGCTTGGGGATGCACAATGAGCTCCGTTCGCACCCTCTTTGATATTCGAGGCAGACTGAGATTGGTAGCATTTGAGGTTCCCACTAAACGTGACTTTTAAAAGGGACTAGTTATGGAGTAATTTGGCAAATGGCTGCGGCTGGGCAAATGTCGCAATGACCGACCGGGATGATGTGATTGATGAGAGGTGAATAGGATAAGACATCTGGCGAAAAATCCAACGCCAGGATTGTGCTTCTGGTGGACACAGTTTTTCGACAGTAGCTGTAGTGGTGCCAACACATTGGTAGTGCATGGTAGGGAGTCAGTCAACTGCATAGCCGAATGCATGTCTAGCAGGATGGGTGGTCACATACATGTACTACCGATTCTGTTGAGCGTTTTGTGACCAAAATTATTTGGCAGACTACTACTACTATTCAGCACTTTCGGGCCTGAGAAAAATTTTACAGTTTAACTTATTCGTGACATGCTGCTTAATTGTTGTGCACATGCAGTGAAATTTTGGATGACTCAGGCGATTTTTGAGTCCGAAAACGGATTCTTAATCACTGTTTATGTATGACCAATCTCAATTTGTTTTAAGGCTCTGGAAGTCACTGTCAGCTATTAATATATTCAGCATACATATTGTTGTATCACTGTGGCGACAAATCAGCTTGGGAGGGATTGCCGACCGTGACTACCGAAGATCAAACGTAAGAGTTGTGATCAGGATGTTGAAGAAGCAGAAAATACTCCCACATTGCGCTAAGCGGCTTGTTATTTTAATTTTCCATGACCAGCTTCATTTACACACTCATGAATAATCAAACTACTCTGTTCGAAATTTAGCTCTTCACTTTTACTAACTGTCGGAAAAACACGTGCGACACTTGATGGGCTAATTATTGACTGTAGCTGGTGTGGTTGGTACTCGATAGGCGAGTTCGCTCATAAACAAGAAGAAGCCGAAGATAGTTTGTTGTACCTAGCACACTGTTCACCTTTTTGAACCCATAGAATTTCGAGTGAATTGATAAGTAAACAGTACGAATTCAGTGTATTTGAATGCCTAAAATTTCTGAAGGTTGTTTGAAGGATTTAGTGACGCATTTACACTACGATTGTAAAAGCAGGTTTGTTTCTACTACACAGTCATCAAGTGTAAAGAGTTGGACGAAGCTCGAACAAAAAGCACATCTACTGGAAATCTCTTATGAATACATAGTAGGGGAAGCCGATATTACTAGGTGTCATGTTAACCACGATATTAAGAGAGGACAGTTCACTGAGCAGATAAGTATGAGGGTCGTATGTAAACAAATGGTTACGGTTACTCGGAGTTAGCCTCTAATCTCACCAACCTATATATCTGAAAATTGCTATTATTAATAACAAACTACCCCACATGAACTTATAACTCCCACTTACCACTAAATTCAAATTTTGAAGGATTTGAGGATGTTCCTCCGATAGTCTCAGGGTCTCATTGTAGCCTAAAAAGTTTAAACTGACTTTATGGTTTAAATCAGATGCTTAAACCCACTGTCCACAGAGGTCATACCATTTTCATCTCTTCAAAAAAGTAAGAGACTTACTGAGTTATGTAAGGGTTCGCAACCCTTGTAAGTGTATTACACTTCACACCCGAGAGCATTTCACGATCTGAAGTTTTTCTGATTATGTTAGTGAAATCATAACCAGACTTGTTCCAAGACACTTAGTGCCAAACAGAAATATTTTGAACTGGTCCAGATGAGAGTCCCAGTCGCTGTGTCTGGCTTCAGGAATCAGATTTGTTGCTTCCTTCTCACAATCTTACATGTTTTAGGTAGCACATTTACATTGTCTCCTATTGAGAATAACGTATGGTTAATTCAGCAGAATAAGCTGAGATGCAGACAGCGAAAGCAGGCAAACACAAAAGAGTGAGAACATTCACAACGTCAGAATTTGCAGCATGAAAATTTTCTCCAGCTGTTCATCCCTGCTACCTTACTGAACACTACTCATGAGTTCACCAAGGAGGGAGGATTTAGGAGAGTTATCCTCTGAAAGCTTCTTAAATATTAGGGACGCCGAAATTCATGAGTCACATCTGGGAAAACTTCCGGATTTTCTCATGTGTGGTGTAGGGATTTAGGACAGAAAGACAGTGCATTTAGCACCGTAAAGCTATTCCTTTCTCCTCATTTCTTCCACACCAATTTGGAGGTTCAACCCCTTTAACATTGTTCTCAGTGATTATTCGTGGTCGGATAATATGGTGTTGATTTTATTAGTAATATACAGCGTCGAACTGAAAGCATTTGGTGATAATAATGATTTCTTCCCAACCTTGTCTATACGAAAGCCATCAGTATTCAGGTATCGCTGATAATTTTGAGTATGAAGTGTATTTGTCTTTCGAGGTAACAATATGAGTGTATATCATCAGCCAGAAGGTATTTTGCAAGTCATAGCGAGAGTAGTAAGTTTGTCGTTTAGGCTATTTCTCTTCCGGGATCAATAATGCTAAATTACGGTGTGTGATTAGCTTGGTAAACGTCGTTCGGAAACGAATGAGTGAAGAATGACATTACGTTAAATGATGACAGTGCTTGGATGAGTGCATTCTGCCTAACTATTCCCCTGAAACAGTGAAAGTTAGCAGCCATTATGGATTTTCACTACATCTATAGTATACCTATTAAGTGGATTTATGTAACACCACAGTCATGAGACTTCCAGTTTGAGAAGAGGTTTTCTTGAATGCTAGGGTTTAATGACAATAAAAAAGTCGACACTTTCCGAAGATGCATATGTTTTATAGAGCCTAATCCCCCTGGAATAGCTGAAGCTAGTGCGTCATACTTGGTGATTGCAAGTATCACCTGAAAGCTATCATAAAATTGTCATTGACTGACGGGTTTTAAACCTACCACGTCGCCCCACTCTTCTATACACTGATATGGAAGTCAATGAAGTGTTCAGAAGAATCAGGTAGGCTGCAGGCAGATTTATATTTTCTGGAAGACTGGGTGGTGGCCAGTGGTATGACTTTCAACCTGAAAAAGTGCAAATTAGTGAGATTGCGCACATGTGGTCTGCAGAATGCAAGTTACAGTTTGTGCAACGAAAGCTTGTCTGCACAACGTTGGAGAGTGACTTGGGTCTAGTTCTAACAAAAATTGACACTTAGATGAATTACACGGGGGCGTATAGGGTCATACACTTTACATATGGACAATTGAGTGCACTCATGTCTGAACTCTTTAAAATGTTTGTTATGTTGCTGCTGCTGAGTGGTTAATAGTAGTTTTCCCCGTCGCCAAATTGTTATGTACTCGTCGCCAAATTATTGCTATGTACTGGTCGAGAATTTAATAGTCCTGACACAAGAAGGCGGAAATCAAAAGACCACTAGGTTTGCGATGATACTTCTATTTTCCAAACACAAGGAGAATGCAAAAGTGGTATCACACCAAAGTCACACAAGATTTGTGTGAGCGAAATATGTATGAATGTTCAGACAAGGTGTGAACAAATCATTAGACAGTCTTAACATGAATGGCTAATTATAATGGAGTATCGATCCATATATACATAGCGAAATATAGCAGACATGTCAACAACCACCATATATGGATATATGTCACCAAGCAACGGACTGTCAACAAACACTCATATTATATATAATATAATATAAGGAGAATATACATTGTTAAAGGAGACAGGTTCATCAATGTGAAATGGTCACAGACTAAGCGAGCAACAGAAAGAGATATCACCATACACATATATATATATATGTATATGGATACATATCAATGTTGTACAAAACATAAATCAGACCACACCTTGAAGTGTACAATATCATTGCACCTTCACTGCTTAGAAGAAACGCCAACCTCTTGGAAAGAGTCCAAAGACAGGCAGCGAAAGGAGTGATTGGTCTCCGAAATGAACCATGTGCTGAAAGGCCTATCCACACTTAGCTACTGTCGGCCTAGGGAGAACTTCATCACTACCTACAAGATAACAAATGACCAGAATCACTCAAACAAAGGTGTTCTGCCATTAGGTACGTTTGGGCTTCCTCGTGGGAATCCACGAAGGTTAGCTTACCTTAGGGCAAAGACTCGAGTGGACTCTTATTTCTTTTCACTTCGAGTTTGCCGCCCATGGATTTCTCTACAGGCGGATGTGGCTACTTCATCATCAGCGGGCAGCTTTAGATGAAGGCTAGACAATCATGCAGTGATGCACGGATTGCGTTCAAACGGCCTATCCCCTTAAAATCTGATACTCCACTAATGTGTAGACATCTAAAGTTATCGTTTTACTTATGCCCATTCTCTATTGTTTCACCCTCCTAATTAATTCAACTATTGCGTCCCTTACACTTGTTATTATTGATATTATATACATATATATTTACATTATTACATCAACTTCAAATTTAAATGACTGTCCGAATTACGTTATTATTTCTGTTATTATTTCTTTTCTTTTGATTACGATGCCGGAGGACTAACAAGTCAAATGATCAACCCTAATCACAGTAGCAACGAAGTCTTAACACTTTGCGTACTACGAACAACGTATAATTAATCCCAGCACTACTCCTTGTGGAGTCTACCAGGGCTACGACAGCCGAGTGGCGGGACGAACTACGGAGAAGTTTACCGAAGACCAGGGACCTTTACTTCACAATCAAGAAGTGAGTGCAAAGAAATCAAATTGTTTGAAACTAGCTCGTACAGACGGCATTGAATATTGAAACATAATGTAAAGTAACATTTTGATAGAGAAGATTTGTAGCTCAGTAACATTTTGTTTGAAGCACTATCAACGACTCGCCGCTCTATGTGAATTTTTCAGGAAAGATAAATGATCACGTTATCTGTAAGACTGCTCTATATTTTCTTTAATTTGCTATAGTCGAGAATGACAGACACTTTGCTATCTGTCCGTAATCCTCCTGAGTTTGTAAATGCTCACTGTGACCGTAGCACATATGTTACGGTTACAGCTGAAAATACCTTTGATATTTCAAGAGTTCTGAAATTAATTTCTGATCCGCATACAGTAAGTGTCTTCGTTTTAATTAACCGTTTGTAGGATTTCATGTATGAGAGGCACAAAATCTCCTTAAGAAACCTAAGAAATGCGAACATTTTCGGAATTGTATCCTTTCTAAATTATTATTTCCGGACATTTTGCATCAATAATATTAATGAATAAGAATAACCAAACTATGTTTTGACTATATTCTGCAATAATGTACGCCCCGTGCATCTATCTTTACACTTATTTATATACATTTGTGTTCCTTGGTGTTACCTATTCCGAAATTTGATAATTTTTATGTTATGATGCTTGCTCTGAAATATATAGATTCCCCAAAACGTATACTCCGTACGATTCTGAATGCATTTTTGGTAACCTAGTGGTTAAAGCTCACAGTAAAATGAAATGAGACTAGACCCCACTTTACTGGTCGAGCAGTCATTCAGCAACATAATATGAGAAAAGCATTAGGACCGTTTTGTTTTTCAAGAGTATGCATGAATTTAGCATTTTGAAAACTCGTTTATGTAATTCGGGATAAAAATATCTATGTTTTATAAATATGTAGGTTCACTCAATTTTCCATGATCTGAAGTATTCACAGCTAATTTCCTATTAAAAATGCAATATTTTCTCCCAAAAATTATAGAAAATACGTGATCTTATACATTACCGTAATATTTTGAATATCTGTGCTAAACGGGTCACACGTTTATCGGACGTTTACCATCAAAGTTTAATTGAATTGATAAAGTTATGTGGCAATCCATTTTTAAAAAACTTAAGTTCAGATGAAGTGAATTACTTCAGTGCGGCTGTTGATTTCATGAATCATTTCGGTATGTCTGTTTGACTTTCATTCACACTGCATTATATTCTTTCGTAAAAATTAATAATTATAGGATACCTTTTACGTGTAAAGAATGAAGAGATTTCTTTGGATGTTTGTCATGCTTTGGAGAAATTTTATTTCATGAAAGATGCTTTAATTCAGATACCTGAAGGTAAATGATTCTTAAAATTTTCTGTTGGATGTATTTTTGTTTAGAAGGTAATAGAACACTTAGACCTAGACATTGCAATGTCAGGGAGTCCCAGGTGCCAAAGTTGTCTTGATGGCAGTAGCCGTATACTAGATTTGAACTCATGAAATTCTGTGCCCGTATCACGTAGCCAGTGTATAATAATTGTTTTTAAAAAGTAAAGATTGAAAGTGGAAGTAATCAGAAGTGCTTATACTGAGCTAATATTTAAACCAGATTCAGAAGTCACTGTTAAGTATGACTGTATTAAAATTAGTAATCAGGGAAACATTATAATATGTACTGAAGATTCATGTTACTACCATAGAGAAAAGTGCTAATGCTGAAACACAGATCATGTTTCAAGATATTCAAGAGAAGGTACTTATGATATTTGGAATTACTTTATTGTATACCAAGTTACTTATAACGATGTATAAACCATGTCTACTATGTGGGAAAGAATCACGTACTCATCAGCTACTAATAGCGAAATTTACATCAGAAAATGTTTTCTGTATGTGACATAGTCTTGAGGTGCATTGTATTCACATTTTTGGATAATATTAGTGAACTATATTTTAACGCTTTTATACGGCAGAATAAGTGATGCTAATGTAGAAGAACATTCAAAATTTAGTTTCATTATAATTTGTAACTTAAAATTAATTTTAAATTTCTGCTCTGAAAAGATTCTAACTGGTGAAAAGTATACTTGAAGACATTTTGAAATATAAAAATATGTTTTTCAGGCATCATTGCGAGTGTTAGTTCGAATGCAATAAGTAAACCTCTTCTGAACATAAATGCTAGCAGGCTGACTAGTGATTATTTCTTCAGCAATATTGAGAAAGTTTATGTGACTTAAATGGTATCAGTTGATTTTTAGACTAGATCAAATACACTTATACTGATAGACTGGTGTTATTGCGCAATAGACTGATTCAAAGAAGGGAGATTCTGGGATAGCAATAATCATAATTTATTATTATTCTTTTGGGTTTGGAGTAGAATGTTGGGCTTCAGCGACACAACTCAGTATTACTCTCTTTTCTAGAGTCACTTCCAATTGGTTCCACGACTGACCATAATCTTTTATCTTCTCATCACGTGATGCCGACCATATCACCCTTGGAAACACAATCAACTCTTTGTCAAAAAAACAAAAACTAATCCTTACAAACCAACAACAGAAAATTAATCTGATGCTCGCTAGTTACTTGCTACAGGATGGAGTTTCCTGGAGTTCTAGAGCGAAGTCATGACCAGTGAGGTCCATCCAGTCGAGTGTGAGAATGGTGGTTGGTGGTCGAGCTAAATGACGAATTGGTAGAAGTTAGAATTCATGCACTGGCTGTTGAATCGGGTCCCAGTGGCTTAATGGTATACGAGCTCGCCAGCCTTGTGACCAGAAGGTCCTGGGTTCAAACCTTGGCAATGGATGCGTACTGACGATGATTCCTAAACTAGGATGAAACAGCTTTCCAGTGCTCCGATACTGGTTTTTAATGGTTCTCTAACTGATATCAAACAGTGATCAGCTCGTAAAAAAAGGATATTGGTTAGCTTGTTGCCATAGTTGAGTTAGGAATAACGCTACTCAAAAACTGTTAGTCCAAGTGTCGCTACAGTTTGCGTTTTAATTTCACTTTCAAATATCAAATTATTGCATATAAATCAACATTCCCACCTAGTTATTTATTCGTATTTTTGTGTTTTTCCATTCATACATTTGGAACGAATTCCTCTGCCTATTTTGGTGTTTACTGTCCTTGAATAGATACTTTGATATTATCAAGCTTAAAATCTAGAAGTTTCTTGTCTGATGGAGTTTAGCAGTAGAATCCAGGATATGGATTTTGTCCTATTTCAGAATCGTTGTCTGGTGTACCCTGATTCTTCCAATGAGTGGCAGTGTTTCTTACTGGAATTCGAATCCTGAGCATACCAATTTAAAAAAAACTGGTGGCCCCTGAGGTCTACTCAATAAAATTTTAGCGGCTGAAACTATGGTGCTTGGTTCGAGTCCTAGTGGGAATACCATTAGTTACTGGGGGTGGGGATGGAGGTGGTAGACGCATCCTACTGATGAGTCCAGAATATAGCGAAACGCTGATTGTGGATTCCATTGCTAACTCCTAACCATTTTCATTTTACAAAAATTCACCAACCTTCTTTGATTACTTCCTTTAAACAGAAATCAAGGAACGACAAACTTCAAAGAAATTTAATCAAAATGTCGTATGTCATAGTGATATTATTGAATCGTTATTACTGGTAAGATTATTTCCTACAAAAATCCTACATAAAAATTAGAGTTATCACGAAACCAGCGAAACAAACGAATTGTCTTTAGCTATCATTAAATTAATAGAGAGATTGACAAAACATTCAGGTAGGCATTCCGTTAAATTAAAGAAATCAAAACCAACAGAAATGAATTCAAACAAAATCATTTTGAAATCAGGCGCGAAAATTATCTGTGATCATATAAATTTAGCAGTATCGTCGAATGACTTACTTTCTTATAGTATTTCTACTTTATGGAATTTAATTGATAATATAACGGATGAAAGTATTAAAATCGAGTGGATGAAACAGATAGGAAATGAAGTAAGTCATTCCCTTGTCTTTCTTGTTATTGATTTTTAAATGTTCTCGCTTGCTGTAGAGATTCCTTTTAACATTAGAGACAATCTAACTTAATAGGTCAGTTTAAATAAAGCAAAAGCAACGGTTTGGTTAAAACAAGATAGCACCACCGTTTATTTCATCGACTTCCCAGTAATTGCCTACAGCCTAGAAAATTAATTAAGTCTATGTACAGCGTAATTTTAAAGCACTTGAAAAGCCGACATGATGTTAGTGGACGAGAGGCTTCGAAATTAATAAACTTAGCTCAGAAACTAAACTTGCTGTTCTGCATGCCTAGTAAAATACTAATTCGCATCATTCTGGAGAGAATAAAGGATGCGCGGAATGCAGAATTCCTCACCCTAGACACAAGCTGGATTTGGTCAAATCTTTACCTCAATTTCATTAACTTTGAAAAGGCCTTCGACAGTGTTGAGTGCGAAGTAATTTGGAAGCTACTTCAACACTACGGCGTGCAGTGCCCAAATCTTTACCAACCACATTCAACAGCTATATGAAAGCGGCACATGTCAGGTGGTCCACAACGGCAAACCAAGAGAGACGTTTCAACTGAATGCAGGAGTAAGACAAGACTGCTTATTATCGCTGATGATATTCTTTATTGAGGTGGATTCGATTATATCAGACTATGGGAAGCAAGAAGATAGGAATACTCTGGGAGGGTAAGAAGACACTAGAAGATCTGGATTTCGTGCGTGAATAATTCATGTTTAATGTTACACAAACTCGAAGAATTACAATAGAAAACCAACAAACTGACTGAAGAAGCAGGCACCGAATACAGGACTCCGAGTGAACATAGAGAAGACAGAGGTGATGGAGACAACCAACCAGCAGCAGCAACAACAACCAGCCGCAGTCACAATTTGGTAGGAGAGATTTGACAAAGGTCACTTCCTTCAATATCTGGGTCGCACAGTGTCAACTACAGTCAGAACGAATGAGTATGTTAAAAACCAGAATTGGACAGGCAAGAAAGACCTTCATCATTCTGCAGTCAGTTTTTAGAAGTCTTCTGTTCTCCGCCTCAGCATTAGGAAAACAAGATTGGGATTCTATTCAACACCAATGTAAAGTCAGTCAGTCAGTCACTGCTTCTATACGAGTCAGAAACTTTGTGTGCGCGTCACGAAAGCCATTTCCAACAGGCTGTTGCATACTTTTATCACCAGCTAACTGCCTTCTCTTACTCCATAGTGGAGATCAAATGGCACTAAGAAACTATGACAGCGAACTAACCGAGAGCCAGTCGCTCAACAAAAATATTCCGTAGAAAATGGAGGTGGACTGGGCATACACTGAGGGGACTGTTGGGTAATGCCTCGCTCCAGGCAATAATCACTCAAGTGAAATCCGAGTGGGAAACGACGAGTCAGGCATCGCTTCGAGGATGACATAGAGGGGATCGTGCGATGGAGGGGGGGAGAAGATGAGAGACCATGGACAATTGGGGGCCCAGCTTAGGAGGATAGCAGAAAATAGAACACGGTCTAGATTTCTTGCTGAAGTCCTATTTTCCATTCGGAAACCAAGGGAACAATAATTGAGTAATAATACGCTTGTATAACTTACACATGGAAGGTTCAAGTTTAAACAAAACGAAAAATGATAAATTTTTGAATACAATGGAGAATAAAAGTCAATCTGAACGAAGAATATTCTTTTCAATTATTTCTCCTCTTCAGGTTCTTACAATTATAAATTGATAATATTTGTGGTCGCTACAATAAAGGCAAGTTATGTTATGCGGCGGATGCATTTTTCACGTAGAATAACAGATTAGTTAGTTAGGGGCTGTCAAAATAAATAGTCGTATTTGTGTGACAAACTTGCAAGTTGGCTGAAATCGATTACAAAATATTTCGGTGAAATGGGAGACAATGGTGGTGATTAATCATAATAGATTTGTAGAGTGTGGGGTAGGAAAATTGACAAATCAGTTCAAGGTTATAAAAGGTGCCAGGCGTCAGGTGAGTGGCTAGTACAAAGTGGTCTGTATTAAACAGGAGATAGTAAGACTGGAATGAGAGGTTCACAGTGAGATAACGAATATGTTAAATGAAACAGGTGCAGGTATATATTGAAAAAACAGATAATATCACTAATAATAAGTCCGTATAAATGAAAATTCGATAGTATTGAGGGAATGTTCGCATAAAGGGCATAAATTATGACGAATAATAATAATAACTGTAATAATAATATTTATAATAATAAGCAAAGTAAAAAGAAAAAAAACACCAAGAGGGTTAAAGGGAAGGAGCACTCTTGGTGAGAAGAAAAATCTTCAGTCCAAGGTTGGCCACGGTAGGAACAGCATCTGGACGTGTTCTTTTTGGATACACAATCCCGGTTTAGTCGATCTTATTGCGACAGCTTCAGCGCTATGTGTAGGAGACGTAAGCGAACTGTACGTGATAACGACTTCGGAATTCGGTATGTAACCCTGAAAGCTGTGTTGACATCGATGCGGTGTCTGTTGAACTCAGACCACTTTGTACTAGCCACTCACCTGACGCCTGGCACCTTTTATAACCTTGAACTGATTTGTCAATTTTCCTACCCCACACTCTACAAATCTATTATGATTAATCACCACCATTGTCTCCCATTTCACCGAAATATTTTGTAATCGATTTCAGCCAACTAGGACGTTTGTCACACACAAATACGACAGTTTATTTTGACAGCCCCTAACTAACTAATATGTTATTCTACGTGAAAAATGCATCCGCCGCATAACATAACTTGCCTTTATTGTAGCGACCACAAATATTATATTTTATAATTGTAAGAACCTGAAGAGGAGAAATAATTGAAAAGAATATTCTTCGTTCAGATTGACTTTTAATTCATAATATGGGAATATTTCACACTATCAAATGGAGAATAAGTTGTGTAATAAAGAACAAGAAGTGGCCAAGATAAGTTGCATAACATCGTGATGAGTTTGATTCAATTCATAGAAGCGAAAGGCAAGCGGAATTATATAATCGCGAAAGTGTTTAAAAAGGTTAAAGCGCTAAAAAAAATCTGTAATCAAGTAATAAAACGGTGATTAAAGGGATCAAGTTAATAGGACAAGGAAAGACTGAGAGCTGCATTTGTCTGAACAAATAAATCTGGCTTGATAGCAGTTGCTTCAGCAAGCTTGAGGAGTTTTGAAGTGTACTGTTTATCAATAATTTTAGAGAATTTTAATAACCTGTATTATTGAGATATCTGGCCATAGCTCTATTCATAGCGTTTGTTTCCTTGAGATGTAGGCTTTTTGATACATGTTCGGAAAATCGAAAGTTCGCCTTTTTTTGTTCCCATAATGTAACTACTGCCACAGACACATCTAAATTTGGATACACAGTAAGAGCTAACATAAGAGAGGTGTCTCTGTCCATCTATCTTCGGTTGCATCAAAGAGCCTGTAGTCAACCAGACGGGAATAAACTTAGCTATAGAATAGATTCTGGTCAGTTGACCACTATCCAATCTTCTTTTGGCTACTCCTAAAATATTATCGCCTTTGAAATGAAGTTATATGAAAAAAGAATTTAGTTTTAGACTGCACGCAACCGGTGAAAAGCCAACGAAATAATCGATTTTTATTATTATTATCATTACTATTCTCTCGCGTTCTGAGTGGGATATTGGGATTCAGTAGAACATCTTCAATTTGTCTTGTTCCTGAGTTCCTTTTTAACTGGCTTCACAGTTGTTCATAGTCTTTTATCTCTTCCTCACACGATCTTCTGCAAATCACCTGGGGAAGCTACACTCGTTGTTTCTGATATGTATCCATATATATATATATATATATATATATATATATATATATATATGTGTATGGTGGTCTCTCCTTCTGTTTTCTCGCCTAGTCTGTGACCATTTCACTTTGATGAACCTGTCTCCTTTAACAATGTATATTCCCCTTATATTATATATAATATGAGTGTTTGTTGACAGTCCGTTGCTTGGTGACATATATCCATATATGGTGGTTGTTGACATGTCTGCTATATTTTGCTATGTATATATGGATCGATACTCCATTATAATTAGCCATTCATGTTAAGACTGTCTATTGATTTGTTCACACACTTGTCTCGACATTCATGTATATTTCGCTCACACAAATCTTGTGTGACTTTGGTGTGATACCACTTTTGCATTCTCCTTGTGTTTGGAAAATAGAAGTATCATCGCAAACCTAGTGGTCTTTTGATTTCCGCCTTCTTGTGTCAGGACTATTAAATTCTCGACCAGTACATAGCAATAATTTGGCGACGAGTACATAACAATTTGGCGACGGGGAAAACTACTATTAACCACTCAGCAGGAGAACATAACAGTTTCCCGCTTGAATCCCACTTGAGCTATGGTCTGAAGTGCTATGTCATTCTATGACCTCTGTGTATGTCCGATGTAGTAAGCAATGGTGCCATCTTATCCCGCACAAACCATTATTTTTGCTTTATTCCAACTTGTATAGGAAAACAAACGTATGAAATATCAGATCACTATATAAATGAAACCGATTTGTTTTTTAAGATTTCCTAATAACCTGTAACTAACCTGAAAGGTATGCGTCGGTGGTACAGCGACAGAATACTCACCAATTACGCGTGTGGTTCAAGGGTTCAATCCCCGGCCACCGACGCACTCTTTTACTTCGCTAAGCCATTGGTAAAACTGGTAAAGAGGGAAGGTTGAACATGAGTCTGGTTAGTAACCCCATTCCGTAAAAATAAAAACACCATTACTACTGAAACTTCAAGCCTCTAGCTTGAAGGTGCCCTATGTTCCACTGGAAAAGCAAAAGGAATAAAAATTGAAACAAAAGAAACAAGCTGAAAGTGAATCAGACAACCCGAAAGTCGATTGTTTTGGTAAATTCTTATTGGATAATTTCAAACTAAATTAATTTGAAACACCGAAAGAGCAAACATTAAATTGGAAGAACATGATTCTAGTGTATATTGTCAGATTTCTTCAGCTACGGACAACAAGTACCACTTAACACACCAAGTTAAAATGGAATTTTAATATGGTTTTTAATTCTCAGCAGGAATCAGTCCTTCAGTAAAGACTGCTGCAAGAAATTCATTGTGAAGTGAAACTTAAGGATGACAATATATATATATATATACGTATTAGATGGTTGGAGGCGATCGGAAGGAAGACTTGCTTCACATAGCTTTCGTGCTAGTTGACATTCAGCAGTCAGCAAGGCGTATCTGCGACCTAGATGTATCTTATGTCCCTTCTGAAATTCAAACCTGCATCACCCAGTGCTGCAGTCAGTTAGAGACGTTACTACTGAGCTATTCAGGCTTGTGATTGACCTCCAATAGGTTGGTATTGGATACTTTGATTGGACAGTCGTAACTAGTGTAAAGTGTCTAGTCCTTTTTGTTTGGGTGCAGACTGAATTCTATCAGTCAGCTTTACAGTGTGGCCACGATTCTAGATAGCTCACCATGACGGTGTATACTAATTTGATGATGTTAGATGGTTGGAGGCAATCGTTACAAAATCTAGGTCAAGAAAGGCTTCCTACCGATTACCTCCAACCATCTAACATCAACAATTCAAAATACACCGTGACGGCGAGCGACCTAATGAGAATGGTGGTCACATTGCAAAGCTGACTGATAGAATTCAGTCTGCATCCAAACAAAAAGGATTAGACACATCACTTTAGTTACTAGTGTCCAATCAAAGTATGTATAGACGTCTAATAACAGCTAATTTTCTTCTAAAAAAAGCCTATTAGGTTCAATTTATGTCTAGTAAATCAGACAGTGAACCTACGTTACTTGAAAAATGCCTGAAAGAAAATGCTTCCCATTAATTTTTAAATCAGGAACATATTATTAACTACTTAAATTTTAAATAAAGTATAATTATATTTCAATAGTTTACACACAATGATAAGTTTTGTTATTGGTAATTTTGCTCGAAATATTACCAATAACAAAACTTATCATTGTGTGTAAACTATTGAAATATAATTATATTTATTTGATCTAATCCACAATGCTCAAACTTTCTACTGATATTACTTAAATTTTATTAAGTAGCACAATTAATTTTTAGTAATTTTATGCCAATACATCATCAAATGCTTTCTTTGTCTTTCTGTGTGTACACATAAATATGGAAGGATTGCCTGATAAAACTTCGAGATATCTTCTTCACATTATTGGCACAAAGTCATTCAAAATTCTGTCGTAATCTACGTAATGATGTGCTGACGATAATTTTATTAATTATAAAATATGCAAATGTCTATGGACAGTTGAAACAAATTCGTATAGTAGAAACTGGCCTGGTGAAACGATTGGTAAACTTGTTAACATTTGATGAATGTAAGTGACTCACTGTGGTTTTTTCGTTTATGCACCTTTTGGATATTAAGGAATAAAACTGTTTGTAATTTGTATATGCTGGGATAGGTTTGCTCCAAGTCTGATCGTCCTCGCTTGGGGGACATTGTAGGTTCAAAAGGAGAACCTTCAGGCTGAGAGGCAAGTCCATTATCACTTCAACCAGGAGGAAGAAATCTAATCACTCTTGAATTCTAACTTCTGCCGATTCGCGCAATATACAGCATCTCCGCGAGCTAATGTCACTAGTGAGAATTTGTTGTTCTCATGCCTAATCTGGTGAATCTCATTGGTCCGTCCAAGTTATGGGTGAGTACTTTTAACGAATTGCAAACTAGGACGAGATAGCTGTCTAGGAGTCTTTGGTTTCCAGTGGTTCCCCAATTCATGTCATTTGGCGGGCAAACTTGAAATTTTTTGCATATCAACAGCTGTAAATAAGTCCACTTATTGTGCACTTAAGGTGACCATTGAATTAAGCTATACAGGGTCCTATTCGCGCTTGCTGGCTTTCCCTAATAAGATATATCCACATGCTTTTTGAAGCTAATGTGTTTTTTTCTAAAATATGAATTCCTGGAGACATGGTACTCGCATCACTTTTCATGTGGATGTAAAGATTAAATTTGTCAACCAACTGGTAAAATATCAGATGAACGGAAGGACCCATAGCAATAAAAATGTAATAAGTTATAAGGAGACTTACAGGAAAAATCAATCACTCCAAAGGTCATCAGGAGGGGCAGTAATATTATCCAATGAGAGTTTCCAAGTCTCATTTCACTTTAAAGTTTGATCTCAAGATTATGGATAAGATTTTATTTTGATAAATCACACAGTGTTGTACAGTAATATTTACTAAGGACCACGTTTCGAGCACAAACTATTGACACTCATTATCATATCAAGTCATTCACTCACACAACTTTTTTCTTTCATTTATATACATGTGTGGAATTGACCAGATATTTGAAAAAAATCAATATAAGATAATGTACATTCAGAAATAATAATATGAGTGTTATTGATCAATTACAATCAGATGTGCGTCGGTGGCACAGTGGTTAGGACTCTCGCCAATCATGCATATGGTCCGGGGTTCGAACCCCTGCCGACGCACACCTGATATCTATGGTCGGCCTGCGAAATTTGGGCTACCGATATCCACGCTGAAAATTCCATAATTGTATCAAAAATACAGTGGGGAATCAAGCTGTAATCAAAAAAAAAAAAAAGATGGGAAGTAAGACGAGTGTTTTTGTAGTCATGATAAGTAACTTGTTAAAATGTTGTGATGTGCTTGAATTGAAATAGAATTTTATGATTGTTTATTATCCTCTTCTGATTTGACCGGCGGTAATAATATCTTCCATATTTCTGGTATTCGCACAGAGTCATTTCTGTTGCATGTGTTGGGTGTAGACTCGACGAACAAGGATTTCGTAATCAACCTCTCTCTCCACCTACCTATATTACTTTTTAGAATTTTAATCCTATCCCACCCTATTGTGTGGTTTACACCCAACACATGCAACAGAAATGACTCGATGCAAATACCAGAAATATGGAAGATATTACCGCCGGTCAAATCAGAAAAGGATAGTAAATAATCTCAAAATTCTATTTCAATTCAATTCACGTACATCACGACATTCTAACAAGTTACCTATTATTATGACTATAAAAACACTCATCTTACTTCCCATCTGATTGTACTTGATTGATAACACTCATATTATTATTATTATTTCGGAATGTACATTATCCTATATTGATTTTTATTCAAATATCTAATCAATTCCCCATATGTATATAAATGAAGGAAAAACGTTGTGTGAGTGAGTGACTTGATATGATAATGAGTGGCAATAGTTTGTGCTCGAAACGTGGTCATCAGTTAATATTACTGCACTGTACTGATTTGTCAAAATAAAATTTTATCCATAATGAAGTTATACTCTGTCCCACAGCGCCCAAGTTTTATACTTATATCAAGTGATCTGAAGATATTGTCCTGAGAAATAATGGAAGCTTCTCGAGTGAACTATCAACACTAGAGAATACAACAATACAGGAAAAAAGTTAAGCCACTCTGTTCATGTACATTGTGGATCTCCTGAACACTGTAGGCGGATAATGTGACGCTAATACATCCCTTATTGACCACTTTTAAAGATTTAAAGCTATTACAGGGAAATTATTTTAATTGAATGAACAATAAAGCTAAAGTTGTCTGTTGTTCCAGTGAATAGTGAACACAATTCTCTGAAAAAAAAAACCTGTCGTATTTCACTTCAATTGTTTAGTGATCATATCTCTCTTAACGATAAATATGAGGATCTATTCTAAAGTATTGGTTTTGCAGAGATTCTGTTTGATTGGTTAGAGGATTTTATCATGAGCTGACATCAGTTAGAGAATCATTGAAAAATCTGAGAGTTTTGAATAGCTGTTTTGTCCTAGTTTTTGGGACTCTTCACAGTACGCCCCCCACTGTTAGGTACCCACCTAATGGTTCTCTAATTTGTTTAATCTCATGATGAAATCCTCCAATTAATCAAACAAAATCCCTATAAAACCAATACTGGAAAATTAATCTGATGACTGGGACTATTCAGGCAGTTACCTGCGGTTCTAGTGAGAAGCCGTGACCGGCAGGTTGGATGTGAGGAGAGTTATTCATCAAAGAATACATTGCGAGGTGGTCACGCTATGTCATGAATTCGTAGAAGTTAGAATTCATGGGCTGGCCATCGGTTCGAGTCCCAGTGGCTCGCTAGGCTTTCCTAGGTTCGAATCCCTTTGGTTGGTGCGTACTGTTGAAGAGTCCCGAACTAGGCTGACGAAGCAGCTGGTTGTCCAGTACTCCCTGTTGGTATTCCAATGGTTCTCTAACTGATGTCAGCTCATGATGAAATCCTCCAACCAGATATGAGGATCCTGAACTTAATTCTAGAACTAAAATATAGGATTGTATTCATATTGAGAACAGTAGAGAGGAGGACATCACAGTTATTGATTCAAACTATTGTTTTGAATTTCCTACCAATTGATTATGATGGACGTAAATACGCGACTTTTAGTGAAATGTAAGTTCATGGTAAGAATACTTTGACTAGGCTCTGAGGAGAATATGGTTATTAGTGGAGTCCAATAGGAGGATATCGTTTTTATTTGAAATTTGTCAAATAGATATACATGCATCTCCAATAAAACCTGAATTCACTATTTATTTTATTTTTTTTATTTTTGATTACAGCTTGATTCCACACAGTATTTTTGGTACAAGTATGGAATTTTCAGCGTGGATATCGGTAGCCCAAAATTCGCAGGCCGACCATAGATATCAAGTGTGCGTCGGCGCGGGCTCGAACCCGGACCATGTGCATGGTCGGCGAGAGTCCTAACCACTGTGCCACCGACGCTACAGGATTTTGTAACGTTTGCATAAATCGACCAACCTCTTGTAACAAATATACTTATGAAAGTCTTAACTATATCGGGTGAGATCTTTCTACCAAGTATGGATTGTGAACAGGGCGATCCAGTTTCTATGGTAATTTTCACATTCATGTTACTCCATGAATTCAAATTACAAGGTTTAACGTTAAGTCTCAATATGATTTTGTTCGAAAACTAAATATGTCTGATATTTAACTAATATTAACTTAACTCACAATATAATTTTTTTTCATTGGTGGATGATGACTAGCAGTGGAGTCCTCCAGGATGCGCATTTCGTCCTATTTTGGACTCGTTATCTGAATATACCTGCATTCCCCAGTGAGTGATGATGTTCCCCGCACTGAGGCTCGAACTCTATGCCCATAGTTTCAAACGCCAAAGAGTTATCCACTAGACCACTTGGACCACGAGAGCCACCTTTTGTGCAACCGGTCATATTAATTTAATTGAATTTGAGATTTTCCCGTCGATTGATTGGACCGAAGTGCTCGGTCACCACTCGCTGGAGAATGCAGGTACATCCAGCTGCAGGACGAGTTCAAAATAGGACGAAACGCGCATCCTGGATTCCACTGCTAGTCACCATCCACCAATTAAATTCTAATTACATGCCCAGACATTGTGGAAGCATCTGCACAAGAGGTCGACGACATGTCAACCTGAGACCCAGCACTTCAGTCCAATCAATCGATGGGAAAATCTAAAATTCAATCATATTCCATTTGTTTACCGACAGTTTTCTAATGAAACAACAGGGGATTTTGGGGAGAAAATTCTCTTTACAACCATTTCATTTCCACAGTTATACACTGACACGTATATCTATCTATCCATCTATCTATCTGTATATTTCAATTACAATAGATAAATACATTTTTACAGTCATGAAAATGAAGTCATCGCAAATGAGAATATCTTTTTCCTCCTGAAACCTTCGTCTCACGTCTCAGTGAGTCGGTGGCACAGCGGCCAGGACTCTTGTCGACCATGCACATGGTCCGGGGTTCGATTCCCTGCCGACGCACAACTGATATCTATGGTCGGTGTGCAAAATTTGGGCTACCGATATAACATGCTGAAAGTTCCATACTTGTACCAAAAATGCTGGGTGGTTTCAAGCTATAATAAAAAAAATTAAAAAAGAATATATTGATTTGGTTTCTAGTGACTTAGGTAATCTTATAATTCCTGTACTCCAATATCTTCTCACTGCCCATGACATTTTCTATAGAAATTTCGATTCTATTAAAATATAGTTAAAGCGATTCATTCAGCATTAATAACTCGAAATCTATATGTACCATGATCATGCCTAATTATTGTTGACCAAGTCAAACTTCAACTGCCAATGTTCTGCGTCCGCACCAAATGATCTAGAATGGCCCAAGGATTTTTTGTTCACGTGAGTTGAAGCTTCTATTCCGCTTGATTCGAGTCAAATGCCTGCTCCGCATGGAGCTAAGTTTGCAATTTGGTGAGGACCAACTCTTCCAGCATTGCTTAGATAAAGGGTTGATAAGCAAAGAAATGATTTGTTCATGTGGAGGTGTGATGACTATAAATAGCTTCAGCAGATTGGTCGATGGACATGTGTATAGCTGTGAAATTTCTTTGAGACGCGTCAGTGTCAGGGAAGGCAAGCTGTCTTTAACCCAGATTTTGTGTATTTGTAATTACTGGGTTTTAAAATAGTCTATCAGAGGTACAGCTGCAGGTTATAATTCCTTGTTATTCCTTGGATATATTCACTATAGAGTCAACCATTCTGATGATTCTGTGGATCTCAATCCAGGAAGTCACACCAACTCTATCGAACGCTTTTTGGGGAAGGTTGAGAAACCGGATTAGAGCCATTAATGGATCGCATAGCGGTGTTGTTTGTAGTCATTTAGATGAATATAAGTAAAGAATGTGGTGTAACTTTTCTACTAATACCTCCTATTGTTAAACTGGGCGATGTTTTTATCACATTTGAGAGAAAAGTATCCTTTGTAACATTTTTATACAGTTTTAATGCATTCTTCTTCATAAATATGTGTATTTCATATCTAAAAAATGCCTCATTCATGTGATTGGTGCGTGCCTTCAAGGTCATTAGTAGATGGTGGTGCTGAAAGTTTAACTCTGCCTCATTGTCGTTCGACATCTGTATCTCTAATGAACTAAAGAGTTATGTTAAAATTGTAATAAAAACATTAAACTACCGTTATTCCGGTTTTAAACAGTCGACAAGTGGTACACCGATGGTAAACTGAGTGGATCCATTTCATTTCTCTATTTTCACTTGTCATTATTATTACTACTGCTTTGTTCAGATTCACTAAAAGTGAAATTGATCAACGCAATTTCATATGATTTATTTTATTCCATTCTATTGCTTTTTTTTTCAAAATGTCTATTTCTTTAGTTCGATGTATGAATCCATTGTTTAAAAATTTAAAATTATTACCGAATGATGAGAATTTCGATATGAAAAAGTTGATTATTTCAATACTTGTGGAGATATCAAATGATCCAGTTGCAGTTTATGTAAGTGCCTTCAAGATTAAACAAAAAATCAATTATGTTTTTTTTTTCCCATTGGGTGTTCCGATAGTCGATTTTATCACGAAATGACATCAGTGTAAAGGAGCACTGAAAACTAAAGGAGTACTGGATATTTTTTAACTCATAGAAAATTCCCATTGTAACATTGTAGAAAATCAAAACAAGTGGTGATTCAGCGAAGAGACTCCTTCCAACAACGAATTTATCATCAAGCTGTACAGTCGTATATATATGTTGGTTTTTAAGAAGTTATATCCGGTGAGGGAATTGAATCATAGGTGTAAATGCATAAAATAATAATAATCGTATGAAATTCAATTAAAACTAAAATGTTTGTGATTATAATCGTAGTTAAATGTCAAGTGGCAAAGCAAATTAATGTCATATATAGAATAATTCATAGGATGGATAGAACTTGAAAAAGGGTGTGCAATTATAGGATTAGTAGACAAATCGAATAAAATAAAAACGTTACGTAATATTGTGTGAAATTTAATAGCATAGAATTTATCGTTGTAAAAAACAATTGATTTAGAATGACAAGTGGAACAAGTGAAATAATACCGGGGACAGTTCAAAGTGAGAATAGTAATAGTAACAATTGACGTAATAAAGGAGAGACTACAAATTGAATAGACAAAATGAAAAAATGAAAAATTGGTAGAGCTAAAATATGATTGGGGATTACCATACTTTAGCATAGAGGGATTAAGACACCATGAAAGTTGGACGGGTTGAACGAACTTTTTCTGTACACAGAGATCTGGCTTTTCTGTTTCGTTAGCCAAAGATGGCTTCAGCAATGCAGCAGATGAGTCGGGTACGTAGGGATTTGGGTAAATTACTCTTCGCCTTGTAGATGACTTTAAAGGCGGAGGCTATAGAGATAGGGTGATCATTATCGACCAGATGTTCAATGATCGCGCTTCTTATCGCTCCACTTCCGCCACTTTCTAACCATGCAGGATAGTGTTCTTGCACCCTCTTGGACAAAAGTCAAGTCAAACGATCGATATACCTAGTTCCACACGAGCAGGTGAATTGATAAACACTCATATTGCGTGACAATTTTATCTTATTCGATTTGTCTACTAATCCTATAAATGCACACCCTTTTTCAAGTTCTATCCATCCTATGAATTATTCTATATATGGTATTAATTGTCTTGCCACTTGACATCTAACTATGAGTATAATCACAAACACTTTAGTTTTAATTGAACTTCATATGATTATTATTATTTTATGCATTTACACCTATGATTCACTTCCTTCACCGGACATAACTTCTTAAAAACCAACATATACTTACGTTTGTACAGCTTGATGATAAATTCGTTGTTGGAGGGAGTCTCTTCGCTGAATCACCACTTGTTTTGATTTTCTATATGTTACTGGATATTTGTTTAGTCATTACTGTCAAACTTTTCGGCAGTAGGCACACACAAAGCTATATCTTTGGCGATTGAGCCATCTGGGTCAGGAATGTACAATCTGGATTAACATAAGTTTGAGGGGAGAGGAACCAAATAAATAAAAGTTTCCGCTGCGATTTCACCTTTGAATTCTAGGTTCATGAAGAGAGTTTTCTAAGGAACCGCTGCGATGTCTGACAACGGAGGCTTCTGCTTCATGTTCCTGTCGATAAATCTTGGTGGATACCCGTTCCCTAGTAGGGTTTCACATAATAAATTTCTTTCTTTCTCTACCATGTCTTCTGAACAGATTTTTCTAATATATATATATACTATCAGGCAACACCAAATCTTCGAATCACCCAACCAGGATGACATGACCGAAAGAACAGAAAATCTCCTTACAAAATTGCTGAAGAGAATGAAAGAAGATTCAGTCATAACACAGGAGGTTTATGAGCAAATAAAACTATGCAGTTCAACTATTCCAAGACTGTAGGAACTGCATAAAGTTCATATGAAGAATGTCCCACTTTGACCTGTCATAGACATGGCTAACTCACCATATCATCAAATCGCGAAGTGGCTAGCTGATATCCTCGAACCAGTTAAAAGACATTTGACAAAATATAGCCTCAGAGATACATTTGACTTTATCGACTCAGTGAAGGATGTCAACGTGTTTGAAAGAACGTGTCGCCTCTCTATCCACAAGCATCTGTCTAACCGAAACAATATGGTTCATTTGTAATTACATCGGAACCAACAACCTAGAAGTTCCTCTTTCCATAAACTACCTGAAGGAACTTCTCAGATGTATGTTCAATATCCAGTTCAAATTCAATGAACATTTCTATGTACAGAAAGATGGGGTAGCCATAGAGACTACTCTCGGTCCACTCTCATCCGACTGCTTCATGGCGAGTGTCGAAAATGACATTGTCGATCCCTTGATAAGTCAACTGCACTTATACAGGAGATACGTAGATGATACGTTAATAATCTGTGATGAGAAATCTGATTTAGTTTCTCTCCTTAAAACCTTTAACGCAGTGCGCCCATCAATAAGATTCACCTTAGAACGCGAATCGAACAACGCATTTCCATTCCTCGATGTACTACTCACCAGAAGACACAACTGTACAATCCAAAGATCGACATATCGCAGGCCAACATGGACTGGACAGTATCAACTTCCAGAGCTTTGTCCCACTGATCCGAAAGTGAAACCTGGAATGTGCATTATGTTCAAGGATTAGAAAAATCTGTTCGGAAGACATGTCAGAGAAAGAATTAAATATTATTACTTGAAACCCTGCTAGATAATGGTTATCCATCAAGATTCATCGACAAGAACATAAGTAAAAGTTGTTTGGAATTTCAAATGTGACTCCTTACAAAAGATAAATAGTTCGTAGTCAGGTGATAATGGGCTCTAATCGTCTGATCCTTAGTCTTCTGAAGACATCGGTTAGAGAATTTGGAGACGATCGCCAACCTACTTTAGATAGCTCAAATAAACAGCTACAGACTTTGAGAACTGATACTAAGTTCTGGTCTTTTCATCCCTAAATATCTTCTAGTCTTATACAAGTAACAGTGATAATACTAGTGCATTTCTTGATTCATTGGGCGGCGAAGTTCAGCAATAGCGTCCAGGAGTGCGAACGTCCAAATGACCTTGAGCTCTCGCTAGTCGTTGGTTGAGGAAACCTACCATTATTCTAGCACAAAAATGAACGGTGTTCATCTGCTCAGATGCGAATTTCACCCAGATCACGTATTTCAATACTGCCTGGATAATGAATTGATTGGACGTTCTCGTATATGTAGCTGTGATGTTTCAATAAACCTGCAACCGTACTCCAAGGTCATTGATGGATATATATTTAAATGTACAGAGTGTAGGAAACGAATAAGTGTTCGTACTGATAAGTGACACTCTCAGTTAATTGTCTTCTAAAAGCTTCCAGGAACTTTCTTTGAAAAATCGAAACTTTCCTTGACGAATATACTGTTTATATGCCATTACTGGATTTTTAAGTCCAGTGTGAGATCAACTGGCACTCAGACAGATAATACATTGACGTCTACTGTGCAATGATTCCAATTTTGTCGGGATTTGACTTCATGGAAAATGAACAGTATTATACAAGTGTTGGGAGGAGTCGGTGTTTTCGTTCATGTCGGTGAAACGGTTCTTATAAAGAAGAACAACAATCGGGGACGTGCTAGGGCAAACAACGTTTGGGTATTGGGAATTTACGACACTCACATTCGGAAAGGATTTATTGAACTTACTCCGGATAGGAGTCCCTATTATTCAGAGACTCGTCTTGCCAGGCACTACCATTCACACGGATGAATGGGCAGCATATAACCGATTATCCGATACGGGATATATACACCACCGAGTTAACCATTCTGATGACTTCGTCGATCCCAGTAACGGTACTCATACGAATTCAGTAGAAGGATCCTGGAGAATACTAAAAAATAGAATAAGAGCTATAAACGGCTCTCGAAATAAAGTTATTTTTAGTCACCTAGATAAATACATGTGTAGGAATTGGTTTAGTTTAAAAACTGACCCTCACCATTATAATTGGGACATCTTTCTATCTCATATTAGAAAAAAATACCCTGTTTAATGTTTTTTCATGCTCTTTTTATGTAAATACACGTGACGTTTTACACAAAAATCCTCCATTTTTCTGATTGGTCGATTCAAGGTCACTCGCGCGTTCATATCCTTTGGGACGCTATTGTAGAACTTTGCCCATTGGGCTTTCAAATGCATCTAAAAAAGAAAGTATGTGAAACTGTCTTCTTAGTGACCTTCAGAAAAAGACTGTCAATGAATATGATTTGAAAATATGTACTTTCTAGTGTTAGTGATTTTCCGTGAACAAAAAACTTTGACTTGCACTCAGGAAATGAAGTAGTAACATGCTTACACCATGACTTGCAGGCTCTCACTTCAACTACTGACACAGTCTTGAGTACTTATAGATGAGAAGACTCACACTAGGAAGAAACAAATATTCAGTACTGCTTGGCTGTCAACAGTTCTTTGACTGGGTTCAGTTTTGTGAAAAACATTCTGTCTTATTCGATTTCCATTGTGCTTTCGATTAATAATCATACCGGTTTAGTAGGAATGTTGGTTAAACTACAGAAAATTTTTTTTGGATGAAATGCTGACCAGGTCAGCAGTTATGTCTCACGGATAAGCTGGTAAACTACTGGTCTAGTAATTCGAAGGCCTGTGGTTCAAATCCTAGTGTAATCTAAGTTCTCAGCTCTCCTCCTGCATACGTCACCTACTACAGCAATAACGGTACGTCAGTATAAGGCTATCTCAGAGAGTCTTACAATTAATCTTAAAAGCGTCAAAAAGAGAAGTTTTATACAGATTCAGTAAAAAATGAAATGGGAAACTACACTGGACACTGATGTTCGTCTAATGAAGTCGTCTCTACAGTTATAAGCCACAGTTTATCGTATAATATTTACAAGTTCTAGTAAAGCAGTAACTTTGGTGCTTCAAAGGTTGAATACTAGACAACCACTCAGGAAATCCTGGATCGATTCCCAACAGACACACTCCAAAACGTCATCTAAGTCTACTAGACATTAGTAGGCCGGGAAAAGTGAGGTAAGGTTGGACGTGAGATTAACATCCTCATTCCATGAAACCATATCACTGCTAATAAGACTTTAAGGATAAAAGTCCTATCTCCCACATGGAACCCAAGCAATGAAGAAAAAAGTGAACCAGTCGTGAAAAAAACATACTTATTCATCAAATCTGTAGAATGCCTATCACAGACTAACATTAACTGAATTAGGCTCAAAAAGAATCAAATGGATCATTTGTCTTAGACTAAAACCTTATTTTATATCCTACCGGAGGATATATAAATACAATATGGGATATAAAGTCTATGTGCTTAGATAAGTTTAATTTTACGGGTATATGTCAACTCTCCTAAATGCTTGTTTCAGATGAGTTTTCTTGGATGTTGTTGTATTGTTCAAAGATAACTCCGAAGTTATTCCTGGAAATATTGTTCTGAGGAACCGTATATAGCCTTATAAATGAAACATTTATCTCAGGGAATCCAACAGCACCAGTGTCATTCACATGAGTTCCATTTTGCGATTCTCCACCATTTATCACCTACACCCTTATTAAATTTCGAATTCACGACCTTCGAATTAATAAGTGAGCCTATTGAATGTTTAGCTGCTAGTCTGGATTTCATTAAAACATAAATCCAAACTGTTGGTGATTTGCGATATGACTCCACGGTTGAAAAAAATTAAAAGTTATTTGTTTACGAGATTTCATCATGAACTGACACATTGGTTAGAGAACCACTGCAGAACCTGGACAGACAGCTGTTTTGTCAGCCTAGTTAGGGACTCCTAAGCAGTATACATCCACCGGAAGTTGAACCCAGGACCTTATGGTTACAAGGCTAGCGAGCTCGTAGACCATTAAGCCACTGTGAACCCGATCCAATGACCAGCCCATGAATTCTAACTTCTGCCAATTCATGACATGGCGCAACCGCCAGCCAATGTCTTCGGTGAGTATTTGTCCTCAAATCCGACCCGTTGCACCCTACTGGTCACGACTTCCTAAAAGAACCTCGGGTAGCTATCTAACTGAATAGGGCCAGTCGCAGTTGAGCATCTTATTGATATTCAAGTATTGGTTTGTGGGGATATGATTGATTGGTTACATGATTTCATTATGAACTGATACATTGGTTAGAGAACCATTGGAAAACCAGCTGGGAGTACTGGACAGCCATTGGATCGGGTCCCAGTGGCGGCTTAATGGTCTACGAGCTCGCTAGCCTTGTAACCAGAAGGTCCTGGATTCGAACCTCTATGGTGGGTGTGTACTAACGAAAAGTCCAAAACTATGCTGACGAAACAGCTGTCCAGTACTCCCTTGTTGCTTTTTCAATGATTCTCTAACCAATCTGTCAGTTCATGATGAAATCCTGTAACCAATATTTAAAAGTTATTTGTTAAACAATTCTAATTTTTGCTAGGATTAATGCTACTAATTTTTGCAGGTAATGTCTGATACAGGTCTTATCAAAGGCCTATTTCAATGGATATGTCCAGTGATACAAACAAATTCAGGATATCTAAGCGATGAGCACAGACAAAGCTTACGAAGTTCTACAATTTTCAGTGAATATTACAATTTAAACAAATGTAATGTACAATCGCAAAGTCAACTCATAATGAAACATGAACAAGATCAATCAGAAGATGAGGAAGAAAAAGGCGCCATTGATAAAAATATTCCGAATAAAGAAAATTCAAAGCTGAAGACAACTCAGACAGATTTATGCAATGAACAAACTGATCATGATGATGATGGTAATGAGCATCATGATGGTGGAAACACTTTCATGAAAGATGAAAAACGACAAAATCTTGATGTGATAAGTAAATGGCCACAAGCTTATTTAGAAGAGCTACATTTATATATGCTTGATGCATTGGCTACATTAGCACCACGTTTGCTGAGTGACTGTATTACTTATGGTATCCCACCAAGACTGATGTTATTATTACAATGGTGTACTAGTTCAGGTGAGGAAGTATTTCTCGAATGTATAAAAAGGTGTTCCAGCTTATCTGTGTATTTTATGTATACATGTCATTCCCTACGTGTAGATTTCTTCGCAGAAATTCAAACCGATAATCCAATCGATTAGTTAAACCACGCGCTGGGTGACGCGTAAAATCCGAAAACGCGGGACATGTTTAGAGCATGGTACTATTTTATGAACGAAATAATGAATACAATATTCAAACCTCAAATTGTGAGGTATCTAAGGCTGAGTACCATTAAATGCACAGTCACTATTCGTCGATAAGAAAAACAAGCAAAACTCTGTCATAGGCGATCCACTACCAGTTTAAATAGCGCACGAATGCCAGAAAAAATATATAAAGATTTCAATAAACAGTACTCTTCAACAGAGAAGGGTATATTAATGAAGCATATATAGTAGACGCTGTTAGATGGTTGGGGGTAATCATCAGGAAGCCTCACACCTAGGTTTCGTGCTAGTCAGCACTCATCAGTCAGTCTGTCAGCAAGGCGTATCTGTAACCTTGAAGGAACTCATGTCCCATTTGAGACTCAAATCAGAGTATCTAATACATTCCTAAAGGAGGTTAATCACGAGCCCGAATAGCTCATGGATAACATCTCTGACTGCCGTAATAGGTGATACGGTTTCTAATCTTAGAAGGGACACGAGTTCCTTGAAGGCTGCAGCGACGTCTTACTGAGTGGTGGGTATCAAGAAGCATGAAAACTAGGTGTGGAGCTTCCTGCCGATTGCCTCCAACCACCTAATATCAACACTTCTCAGCGCGACGTGATGGCGAGCCATCTAGAATAGTAACCATACTGCCGTCTTGACTGAGAGAATTGAGTCTGCACCAAACAAAAGAAATAGGCACATGCTCCGAGTTTAATTCCCAACTGTTGTGATCCTAAACCTCTCCTAGCTCACTAACCCATAGTAACCCAAAAAAAGAAGGCAGATTGGGAGTGAATTTAGCAACTGCAATGCTTAAAAACGCCATCAGAACCAGTACAACTTCGAAAAGAGTTTGAAGCCTAAAGTATGTTCTACTGGGAAATCGAGAAGTGAGGAGGAATTCACAGATTTAAGTTCACTACCTGTATTATGTATTAGTATTAGCAATCAGCCAATTGGAAAAGTTTTCTCATGCACTAGGCAGTGAGCCACACGTATTCTGTCAGCATCTACTTAGACAGATGTAGGTGGAAAGGAGCGTGGCGGGGGTTCAAGACCATAATCTTTTGACTGAACCAATGAGCTGCATCTCTACTAAGTATCCGAGTAGATTACCTTAACGTGTTTAAAATTTATGATCATATTAAGAAGTATTACGCTGTGTGGAAAAAAGCCTACTGATTATCCAACCTTTGGTAAGGTACACTCTGCCACGATTTTTCAATTTGTTTATATGCGTACTTCAAATCTGGTCCAAGGTATTGAAAGTTGAGATTCTTATCATAAACTTCTGAGATGTTATGAAGAATTCGTTACTTTCTTATTTGTGAAAAACTTTAGAATGAAACAGATTCCATTATTGTCAATCTTGTTTCCTCCTTAATCGATCAATATATTTGTTTTATCAGTCTCTATTATGTAACAGTTCTTCCTATAAGCTAACCAGGATTCAGGTGTTTTGAGATGATTCAGCTCTCTGAGTTGATCCAAGCCAAGGAAACCGATGATAAACTGGTCCCCAAACAACTGCGACGGCCGTCTGGTGTTTAGGTAACTTCTCTTGGTTATTAAGCTACTCATATCAGTCAGTAGGATATACTATGTAAAACGATACACGTATTAAAATTATAACTTTGGTTAGCTGGAGCTCCGTCTGTTCAGTTGGATCTTTTGGGATGTTTTTTTAAATTTGTTGTCATCAGATAGAACTGACGAGAGTTTCTTCACGTAGTCTGACCTGTTGAACAGAACAATTCCAGAACTTTTGTCTGGTCGAGTTATTATCAGGTTTTCATTCGATTTCAGTTCTTTGAGTTGCTTTCGATGTTCTTTTGAGAGCAACTCAAAGAACTGAAATCGAATGAAAACCTGATAATAACTCGACCAGACAAAAGTTCTGGAATTGTTCTGCTCAACAGGTCAGACTACGTGAAGGAACTCTCGTCAGTTCTATCTGATGACAACAAATTTAAAAAAACAATCCCAAAAGATCCAACTGAACAGACGGAGCTCCAGCTAACCAACTTATTGAAAAAATGAAAGATGAATCGATTATTAATATAGAACTATATGAACAACTCTTCTCATCTGGTTCTACATCGCCATGAATGTACGGACTACGCAAATTGCACAAGAAGGACGTCCCACTTCACCCAATATACTAGATATGATTAATTCGCCATATCACCAAACAATGATATATTGAGTTAATAAACGGGATGACGGAATTATTAAAGAGTCAGCGCTTATATAGGGTAAAGTCACTTGGATCGCGCGTCACGGAACGCATTGTCAACATTGAGTGTCGATGGCACAGCGGTAGAATGCTCACCAACCACGCATGTGGTTCGGTGTTTGATCCCCGGTCGGTAATATGACTGGTGAAGAAGGAAGGTTGGGCATGAGGCTGGTTAGCAACCCCATCCCGTAAAAATAAACATCACTGCTACCGAAACTTCGAGCCTCTAGCTTGAAGGTGCCTTATGTTCCACTGGGGGGAACGTGGAGGAATAAAAGCTTATCAACAGGCTGCTGCATAATTTCATCAACAGCTGCCTTCATTCGATACTGAAGAACAAATGGCCTGAAAAGATCAGCAACGGGGGTCCTAGAAAACGAACCAACCAAGAATTTGCCATCCAGCAAATACACAGAATGAAATGCAGATGGATGATGTATAATGAAGAGACCATCAAATGAAATCACTCTCCAGGCGCTTGAGTGGGATCGGAATGTGCGACAACGAGTTGGGTGTGAGTTCAAGGGTGATATGGAGGAGATCGTATGGGTAGAAGTAGGCTTTAAGCGGTCGAGGAATTCGGTAAAAATACTGAGGAGAATAGAGTGAAAATGAGGTGTCCCTTTGAAGTTCTATATTCCATCTGGAGCCTAAACCAGTGGTATTACCTTGTCATCAATCAGAAGAAATTTATATAGTGCCTGAATGCTTTCAAAATCTATTTCACACAGGATTTTACAATGAACTAAACAACCGAAATTTCAATAATTTTCTTGCCCCTTCAATTTAAGATGCAAATGTTTATTATCATATCACCCGCGGATATCTCATTTTAACAAACTGACTCAATTCAAACAATATTATTACACAATAACCGTCAAAAATATTTCATTAGCAGCATTTATCGATTTCAGGTAACCTAGCAACGTAGATGCATATGCGATTAGAAGTTTATAAAGCCAGAGGTGTTCCTAAATGGTGACCGTTAGCTTCTGTATTGTTTCCTTCTTTGCATTCCCTGTGAAACAGAATGGGGCTTCAGACATTAAAGTTTCAGTCGTCGTGATGCTGCTTCTGTTACGTGATGGGTTCACCAGCTTCATGACCAACCTTCCCTCTTTCTCGAGCTAACTACTCTCCAGTAAATTAAGCATATTTCTAAAATTTAAGTATTCAACGGATCAAATGTGAATTGCTTGTATCATAGAGAGACAGTAAGCTGTTAAATGTTTACAGATAGGCTCTTCCGTTTCTAGGTTGAGAAACATTAAAGATTTAGCCTTACTGCCGATTTCACAAGTTTGAATAATAACACAGATTCTAGTTAAGTAACATATGTTGTTCATTGTTTCAATAAATGCTGATAATTGATAATGTTTATCCATCTTAGAAGCAAAGAACTCTAAAATTAATTAAAAAAAAATATCATATTCAATCATTTGTTACTTATTGGAGAAGTCTGAGAATATTCTTTGACAACTTTAATTTGGTTTGATTATGCGTTATAAACCCGGCAAAGTTAAACTTTCGACACCACTAACAACCAATCAGCAAACGACCTTGAACGGACCAGTCACATTAAAGAGGCATATATGATGAATGGAAATGTATATTTGTAGAAAAAAGCATAAAATAGAGAATAAAAAAGTTACATGGGATATCTTTCTCGAACATGTGAGAGAAACATCTCCCAGTTTAGCATGGGACTGTCAATGGAGAAGTTACACCATATCCTGTACATATATTCATCCAAATGACCATAAATTAGATCCATCTATAGCCCTTATCCTATTTTTCAACCTGCCCCAAAATCCTCCAATAGAATTTGTATGTGTCCTCGTAACGGGATCCACAAAATCACTTGAATGGTTGACTTTATGATGAATGTATCCCAGAGATGACAGTGAATTGTAGCCTTTCCACTCGTCGGTGTGTATAATTGACCCCCGCTTAACAAGTCTGGTAATAATAGGTATAAGAGTAGTTGCTTTTCTATCTGCTATCCTTAGGGAGAGAAGTGACCTAGCGAAAAAAGTTCCTACGAAATATTAAAATTATCAGCTTACTCTCTCTAGCGTTAGTAGGCTTCAAACATATAGCACAACGATGAACAAACCCATCAGTTGATTTGGTATAGCTTTTTAAAGTCATGATACCACCACACAAACAGATTCGCTCTTTCCGGCGCAACTCAAATCCAGGAAATACTGGAAAACACTAACCTCCTCGAATTTCAACAATAGCTTTGTAAGGTCACGCATTAGAAATGAATCAAGCGCTATACAGCATTGAACTGCGTTCGTGAACCTCATTGGATAATTCGAAATCGTTCGTGAATCTCATTGGATAATTCGCTGATTGGTAGTTAGTGGTGTCGAAAGTTTAACTTCGCCATAAACCCTTTTAAACTAGCTAAAGAAGCAGTTAGAGAAGCCAGGACTCCCGGTGAACATAGATAAGATGGGAGCGATGAAGATAACCAACAGCACCAACAACCAGCGCCAGTCACCATCAACGGAAGAGATTTGATAGAGGTTCATTCCTTCGCTTATCTGGCTAGGAAGCGTCGTTTCAATCACACTCAGTCGGAATGGATGAAGGTGTCAAAGTCAGCTTGAACTGGGAAGGGGAGGTACGAGTGTATCAATCTGAAACCAGTTTGGAAATCTTCTGCTTCACTCAGCCAGGCAGCAAAAAGAATAAGATTCGGATTTTCAAGACTAATGTTGAGTTAGTCAGTTCTTCTATATAAGTAAGAGAGTTGGTGCAATACGAAAAGAATTTCCAACAGGCTGATACAGACTTTCATCAGCAGGTGCCTTCTCCCTGAGTCCATGCTGAAGATCAAATGGCTGGCCGGGAAGAATTAGCAACATGAAAACCTGGGAACAAATGAACCAAGAACCTGTTGTTCAAGAAGTATATAGGGGAAAACGGAAATGGATTGGGTATACGTTGTGAAGGCCGTTGAACGGTATCGTGCACAACACCATCACTCAAGTGGAATCCTAATGGGATTTGACTAGTGGGGCCTCACTTCGAGGGTGGCATGAAAGAGATCGTGTGTGGAAGAAGAGATGAGAGATAATCGGCTATCGTAGACCCAAATGAAGAGGGCGGCAGAAAATAGAAGAAAGTGGATCTGTTTTGTCGAAGCGTAATGCTTTATTTGGAATCCAAGGGAATAATAATAATGATGATAATGTAAACCCCTTTCCTTACCTTGGTCATAGTGATATTCTTTATTTTTGGCTTTATTTTATTGCTTGAATTCATTCCACTTCAACTTTTCTTCTTTATCTTCTTTATTGTTATCATCATCGCAGAATTAACTTTTTGAAAGCAGTGGCTCTTGATATGTATTCGCATATATATATTTATGTGTGTGTGTATGCTGGTCTCTCTTTCTGTTTGCTCGCTTAGTCTGTGACCATTTCACTTGTATGAACTTGTCTCCTTTAACAATGTATATTCTCCTTATATTATATTATATATAATATGAGTGTTTGTTGACAGTCCGTTGCTTGGTGACATATATCCATATATGGTTGTTGTTGACATGTCTGCTATATTTCGCTATGTATATATGGATCGATACTTCATTATAATTAGCCATTCATGTTGAGACTGTCTAATGATTTGTTCACACACTTTGTCTGGAACATTTCATATATATATTTCGTTCTCACAATCTTGTGACTTACACTTACTTTCTCTTTGGTGTGATACCACTTATTGTGTCTCCTTGTGTTTGGAAAATAGAAGTATCATTGCAAACCTAGTGGTCTTCTGATTTCCGCCTTCTTGCGTCAGGACATATAGTTTCTTGACCAGTCCATAACAATAATTTTGTCGACGAGTACATAACAGTTCTCTAATTGATATCAATCCATAATCTAACCTGAAACAAATAGAATCCACACACATACCAATTCTTGAAAAATTAATCTGATGCTCGCTAGTGACTGACAGGCTACAGGACGAAGTTTCCTGGAGTTCTAGTGAAAAGTTGTGACCAGTGGGATCCACACAGTCGAGAGTGAGGATGGAATTCCTGCCGTTGAAATTGGTTGGTGATTGCGCTACAATCACTAAATGCTAGAAGATAGAATTTACGGGCCACTGAATCAGGTCCCAGTGGCTGACTGACATACTGGAAGATCCTGGGTTCAAAACTCAGTGGCTGCTTACTGTCGATGAGTCCCAAACTAGGACGAAACAGCTATCTAGTACTCCCCAGTTTTCAATGGTTCTGTAACCTATATCAATTTTCGGTCTGACCTGAAATAATTGAACTACTTTTGAAATCATAATACAAATTCATTTATGTCCAGTAATATTTAAAAAAAATTTGTAATTCACGCACTTCAACTCTTAACCCCCTACCCTGCCCTCATCACCTTAAACACACCACGTTAATTATCTTTATTCTTATCTAATTGTATAATGACCGGGTAATTTTTAGTGCCACTGAATACCGATTTTCCATAATATAAATATGACTGTACAGAGTGAAAATGTAGTCATTGAAATATTTCTTAATTGAACAAAATTGTGTATTTCCCTATTATTGAGTTATATAGTGCTATTTCTTAAAATCGCCTAGTGTCATCAAAAATTTACTGAGAAGGCATCAAATACTATCATCCAGTTAATTTTTTAATGTCCACTCACAGACAAAAATAACAATAACAATCAGTCTTCAGGGTAGATACGCTCAGGAATTCAAATCATACGCAGTGATAGAGAGACAGACAATCAATGAACAACTCTTCCTTTCCAGACTGACAAAAACAACCTAGTACGGCCAGAGGTGGTTAGACTTCGGTCTTCCTGTTAAAATGCTCCCATATAACTGTTTTTTTCAGCCAGTTAATTCCTACTCACTACTTTTAAACACCGGGGGGGGCGGGGATTTTCCTCACAAAAGTGAAACAGTGTGCTTACAACCAAACTGGTACACATGCAAGGCTACCTAGGGAAGCTTGGAAAACTTAATTTCAAAGCTATCGTGTACATGGACCCTAGAATATAAACGAATCGAATTTCATATGAAGCATCTTTGGTAGCGTGCCAACTTTGGGAATGTAGACGCTGATGCTGCTCCTCTGATGTGTGGATCAGACTTTAAGTTAAAGGTTCGGTAGGCGGTGGCTCCTTAAAGCAACCTGCCTGCTTCAACCCCTAGGTAGTATCTTAACCCTCTAACAAACTGGAAAATCTTATACGGTGCATCTCTTGGTGCCCATGAGGTATCGAGTTTGCATTGGTCCTTGGTTAAATTCACTAAATATCTATGCACATAACTATTATTTTTATCCATTATTTTCTTTTTTTCTTTCTTTATGTTTTCTTTTATCTTGTTATGATAGAACCATTTCTTGGACAAGGGAATAGTTTTCATGGTGTTGGTGGTAGAAATAACAAGCGAGCACAGTTACGTTATTCTTTACGTCTGATACGTAGTCTTGTCGAAACAAATGATGAACGTATTATCCTGGTAAGTAAAAACCAAAAAAAAATTCATGTGTTCGTTTGCGGGGATTTGATCTGATTGGATACAGGATTTAGGTGCACCACATAATTTTTCAAAAGGTCCGAGAGATCAATAGATATGAAGCTGTGAGGGAAAACTCTATTTGTATGACTCATATATCACATATTAACTCCAGTGGGATTTGCATCCAATTGCTGGAGGTTCGAAAGAGCTAAGAGTACTTTACGTCGATAATTAGGATCGTGTCTTGTACGATCTGAGTTCAAGAAATAAATGGGATTTTGTTCCATGTAAACTGTGTAAAGTTTTTTCAAAACACTTAGTTTCTCTATTTGTCCCCAGTCAGATATTTTGTAGTCGTTGAACCAAATATTCTTCTAAATTTTGTAGATGTGACATGTTTTGTATTTGTGATATGAAAGTGTACGCTAGGTCTAGAATTTGTAGTTTTGATAATATTTCTAGTCCTTCGATTTCCGTTATTCCCTTCTCACTGAGATACAACTGTTCTAGATTGACAAGTTTGGCCAATCCACACATTTTAGTGACTCTGTTACCCTAAACACTAGTTAATGTATCCAAGTTTTCCAGAGCTGATATCTTGTTTTTACCACAATATAGTTGGGTTAGCTTTGTCAACTCTTCTAGATTTTCCAGTTTTCGTATTTTGTTTGAACCAAGTTCCAACGGTTCTAAATCCCGCATACTGCTTAGATTCTCTACTTTTGATATACAATTATTTACCAAAAAACAGCTTTTTCACACAGTGTAGATTATTTAGATTTTCAATATATTTAATGCAATTGAAACTCAAATCCAAAATGACAAGCTTTGAAAGACATTCCAGATTTTCGATATTTGTAATTTGATTATCATATAAATCTAACTCCTCAAGGGTTTGACAGACAGGTTCAAAATTTTTCAGCTTTTTCAAAAGATTATTCCGGAGACACAGCCGAGAGATATTCGGGAAACGCTTTAATTTGCAGATGCATTTTATTCGGCAATGTTCCAAATCAATTTATTCACCTTCTATGTTTGATATATCGAGTTGATCAATTTCAACACCAGGTACAGACTGTTCCTCATCATTATTAATGGGAGGTTTGGGTTGATTATGTTCAGTCATAGAAACAGTTCGTAAATGATTCGCAGGGATACCCAATACACAGAAGGTTACACACCTCTCCTTGGGTGGTTACAGGATTTCATCATGAACTAACATCGGTTAGAGAACTATTGGAAAACCACCTGGGAGTACTGGACTAGCTGTTCAATATTTATTGATGCTATTTTAAGACATTTTTGAAAATAGCTGCATCATATTGCGAACTAAATTATCTAACGAAGTATTGTAATGGTAGAAAACGACAGACTTGGTAAAAGAATGTTTATTAGGAAATTGTTATGTCTATAAGACGAAATTATGTACACCTTATCTTCAACGTACCATTTGCACAGATCTTCCGCGTTGTTGTAATTCTCGCCTTCGTGTGTTGGGTTTCTTTCACGTCTTCCATGTGTCTTCTGAATGCTGTATCACTTGTTTTCTCTGAGATCAAAACTACCTCCCTGCTATTGATGATTTTTTATGCTGATGAACATCTCTTCACATACTGCTGATAAACCTTATCAGTAGCACACACCACACTCCTCCTCCCATCAGATAGCTTCTAAAGGAGCATTTCCGACTTTCTTGGTTCAACTGCTTGCTGTTGTATCTCGGTCCCGACTTTCTTATCCAACTGAATCCATTCCTGCAGTTGGCTGATGTTAACAAATTTCTGTTTATTTCCTCTTTTGATAGTTTGAACGGGATCACGTCTCTTGATGACACTATATGACACTCCCTTCCCGATTGAGGAGGAGTTTCAGTGAACCTGGCCCACATCTGCTAGCGTCATTTCTTTCTCTACACCTTACTTGATCACCGAACTCAAAGGTTATGCATCTCATCTTTTCTCCCCGCTCTGGTTTCACGGCGTCTTCCTTCTCTTTACGCTTTACATTCCTGATGGCTTCTTTCCTTTCCGTTCTCAACCTCGTCATATTACACTCCTGGTGTAGGGGCCAGGTTGTTCTGTCTATTGGTAGTTGTGATTTCCTCTCATACACAAACTGAAATGATGACTTCTTTGTTGTTTCCTTGGGGGGGGGGCGCACGATGCGCTAGTTGAATCAGTGGAAGCTCTGTCTCACAGTTCCCTATCTTTGAGGCCAGCCACTCCTTCAGTGAACGGTTATTTCTCCATGTCAGACCACTAATTTGCAGATGATATGTTGTTATTCTGATCTTCTTGATACCAAACTGTTGCCAATGGGAGATGAATTCTTCGCTTTAAAAACAAGGGCCCTGATCCGCCAGTATCGTCTTTTGTACACCATGGTCTGCAAAGGTGTGTCAAACTACTACGTCAGTCACGGTTTTCGCGCGCTGATCAGGGATCACGACAGCCTCTCGCCGTTGTGTGTAGCATGCTCCGTCATCACCGAGAGGTAGTGACTGTCAGTGGACATCTTCGGAAATTGACCCATCACATTTATGGACCACAAGTCACCTACCGCTGTTTTTGAAACGGAAACCAAGAGTACTTGTTTTAAACATGCAAGTGTCAATATGTAGTCTGCTGGAGTTATGCGGGTTGAGTGTCATCGAATATTTTCGATTACTAGGACAAATTGTCATCAACTGTGTTTTCTAAAACAACATAAAGATTGGTCAAAACATAACTGCGCTTATGAATTTACGTGCACTTGCGGGAGAAAGTACATTGGAAGGACGGAAAGAAGGGTTTCTATCCGGTTTTCTGAACATATTCCAAGAAACCTGCGCCTGAAAGGAAGCAAATATTCTCACAGAGTGCAATTACCAGACATACTGTTGATACCGGACATCTCGTAGAGATTTCCAAGTCCTTTAATATATTAAATAGACAAAGTAAAGCAAATATACTACGATTCGCTGAAACGATCACAATCAAACGATTCAAACCAACCAGACTTATGCACACAGAAAGAGAGTGTGATTAACCTCTCACTCTTTTGGTAAGTGAAATTCGATTTCAATTACATTAATTAGTCGGTTAGTTCAGTGATCTCAACTCACAGAACAAATCTGAATCTACTAAACTTTAACCGCTTTTGTTTCTTGAGTTGCTATGTGAACCTACAAGCTAACACTGTTCTGTTAATTTTAATTTTTTCTGTTTTCTGTCTTACCCCTCTCTCCCCTGTTTTCAACTTTGAAAGCGTATAAATTGATGATGAAAACTTAAACCAAAATATTGTAATGCTTTCATCATTTTGGATGCGTCCATCTTATAGTATCTCTTCTCTACCACCACTCAAACATTAAAGTATGTTATTATCATCTATATATACCCATTGTAATTTCAGGCAGTCTACGGCAGTTGATGAGAACCTGTGATAAAGAACTATGATTTCATTTTATACTGCAAATTTCGTCTTCCTTTCTTTATCGAAATATAATATCGTTTATTACTGAGGTAATTATTTTGAATTTTCAGTCGAGATTCTAAGTCTGTCATATGACATTGGCGACACTCGTACTACGGACACTCTGATTATTTCTTGGCTATAGGTAGTTTTTTCTTTCACGTTCCTCAGTGGAACATAGGGGGCTTCAAGCTGGTGGCTTGAGGTTTCTGTAGCAGTGGTGTTTAGTTTTACAGGATGGGGTTGCTAGCCTCATGCCCAAACTTTCCTCTTTACCAGTATTATTTCTGGCTTAGATAGGTAAAGTTGTGCGTCGGCCTGGGATCGAACCTCGGACCATCTGCATGGTCGGCGGGCGTCCTAACCGCTATGCCACCGACGCAGGTAGTTAGGTAATATCAAGTTAACTTCATGAATTCCGTAGAATTAACCAACATCTCGGTATATAACACGTACTTAGGTGTTGTAACCAGGTCAAGTTCTTCCATATTAGTTTGTTTATTAGATGTATCACACAGTCGTTGAAACAGTATTATTTACTGGATGACGTTTCGAGCGGAATTTATTGTTCATAATCACATCAATTGTAATCACTCGACTTTAAGACTTGAGTTTTATAGTTTTCTTTGTTTTCTCCTATTTGTCGTAGGGGTAGAGAAATTTTCCAGATGTCAGGGATGGGTGATGAGTCATTTCTATTACATGTATTTGCAGTTGATTCGATAAACAAAGCTTCTGTTATCAATCTCTCCCTATACACTGTGACCTTAGATTTTAAAACTGTCATCCTATCCCATCCAGCCTATTGTATGGTTGTGTGTAACTGCATGTAGTGTAGTGCTATGGCTGAACTATTCTCTAGATTTCTTATCTTATTTGGGTCAACCGATCTAGATTTTGCTGCTAGGTTTTTATGATCGGCTAGTCTAACTGACTGCACCTGTTCTACTACTTTGACCTATGTATTTGACGTGACAATCATTCCGGCAGGGGATTAGATAAACTAAATTGTTTTGTTTCAAAGGCCCCACAGGATTGATCCCTTAACCGACAAAGCTTGTTTCTAATTGAGTTTGTGGTCTGTTTAAATGCCAACCACTTTTATTCCTGGCTGCCTTGTTAAGAATTCTGCGGAAGGCTGCCGAGGTTCCTTCCTTGTATGGAATTACTGTTGATGATTTCGATTCCTTATTGTTGGTGTCGTCATTAGTATTAATTTTATTATTATTACCATTATTACTATTATCACTATCGCTACTATCACTATTTATTTTATTTTTAAATTTCCTTACATATTTCCTGACGTATTTGTCCGGATAATTATTAAGTTTCAAGGCTTCTTTTATGTGTATCACTTCCTGTCTTAGATTTTCCTTAGTACTACTTAGTTTTTGTGCTCTTTCAGTTAAACATTTTATCAATCCTATTTTCACTGACATAGGATGGGATGATCGGAACTCCAAATATCTGTTTGAATGTGTGGGTTTTTTGTAAACACTAGTGTTTAACTTCCCATCTTCTTTCCTTTTTACGTGGCAATCTAACAT